TATATATATATATATATATATATATATATATAGCTGCCTTAGCCAAAACTCTAGAGAATTCTAATTCAATTAAATGGAGTCTGGGCTTCAGAACTTAAAAAATTAAAAATAAATAAATAAAATTAACTACTTTGGGTGCTTCTAAGTTTATCCAGTGTAGAGAACCACTTGCCAAAGGTGTTCAAATAGGTTTTTATTCATGTGTGATTTTTAAAGACCTGGTAGTTCATTGTGGGCCAAGGAAAGAAGTTTGCAAGATCCTGGATTTGATTATCTCTGTGGAATTTTCTAGTTTTAAAGCGAATCCCTTCTGCTACAGTAACTAATGTAGATGCTTCCACCCGTTAGGCCTGAAGGTACAGTTGGTGAAGGGGAGGCATTCTGGACTGAGGAAGGGAAGGGGGAAAGAACAGCACAAACCCTCAAAGTCCTGAAAGGAAACATGGCTTCTAGGCTGCAGCTTTTTTTCCTTAAGGGAGAAATAAAAGAAAAAACTTCAATTACGTATAAAGGGATTTAGACGTGATTTTTAGAAATATCCTTAACATTTGTATAAATTTGATAACATGATTTGTATAAGTATCCTTAACATTGTAGATTAGGGTAGAGTCTTAATTTTTTTGTTGTTGCTTTTCGAGTTGGAATAGTTTAGAATAGTGTTTTCCAAAGAGTGTACTACAGCCTATGGTATTTTTATAATCTTCACTTTATAAAAGAGTTCTCAAGCTTTATTTGACCAAGGAGTTTATCATGAGACTAATGTTCTATGAAATCACACTTTGAGAATTACTGCCTTCAGGTCACTTAAACTATAAGAATTTAACACATAATTTACTGTAACTCTCTTGGGCTATGCTGCCATTAATTTAGCTTCTTTCATCATAAATACAGGTAAATATAGAAATAAGAAAATAGCCTGTTTAGCTGGTTAGTAATAATCACCTTGGTCATGGGGAGCTAAAAGACTAGCGTTCCAGTTCCACTCAGGCATTGAGTGAATATTTGATTGGGAATAAATAAGATACATATTTTAAATAATCAGAGCCTTACTTTACTCATCTACAAAATAAGGACAGAATGTTTGTAGGGGAGATTGTTAAGTTTGACATGTGATAATGGGTATAAAACACGTCCAATTGTGAACACTGTAAAATGCAAGACATAATTAAGTGTTTTACATAGGTGTAGGAATTACCACTATGGTTGGGGCACATTTTTAGTGTGAGTTTTCGACTATGACATAGAGTTGATGTAAATATGGAAACTCCCTGTAATTTCTGCAAGGAGGCCTTTCGTTCTGTGTTTTCAGTAAAAAACACAAAGGGAAAGAGCACAGTTATCTACAATGTCCTGAAAATAAACTTTCATATCTCAACACTATTGTTATCACAACCTTTTTCTTCTCTCTTAATTGTCCAATCACTAACGGGCTGTGATCTTTCCAAACAGTTAAAGGTCAGTCACTCCTAGCTCATAGTTTCCCTTTGCCAGACTAGAAAGAGGAAGGAGAAATCTGTCTCTGCTAAAACAAGTTTATGCAGCTAAAACATCTATAGATTCTCTGCTGACTGTATCAATGGAGGAGACTGTGAAGAAATATAAAATAATTTGTATTGTAAGTACAGTTTTTTCTTTATTTTTATTTTAGTTTATTACAGCTTTGTGTCAAATGTTAAATGTGTATTCCCTATTTATTTGTTTGTGTTGCTATTTAAATGTAAAGTTTTCAGTAGTTGTGTGCAGTTTTATGACATCTCTAAGGCAGTGAATATTTTTAACCATATTTTACAAGTATAAAAAATTGAGCAACAACAAATGGANTGAATATTTTTAACCATATTTTACAAGTATAAAAAATTGAGCAACAACAATTTTTTGTGTTATTTTATCAACCTATAGAGTTGGGATCTGTGGCAGAACACTTGGCAGCATTTCTCTTAGTAGAATTGCAATTACTTCCCAAGCTGCGTTTTTATTGTATGGATATTTTAAGACTAGAAAGTGAGCAATTAAAATCACTGTATCTTATATTCTTTGTTGAACTATTGATTGTATCCTATTTTACTTCCCTCCTTGTGTCTCTTTTGCCTATTTTCTCTTGTTCTTCCCTGTCCAAAAGAAAAAAAAAGGGGCAAAAAAAAGCTTTCCTTGATTTTATTGCACTCTCTTCCTTTAGCATCAAAGTGTCAGGAAACGGAGCCTAATCTGTTGCCTCGGTTTTCTCGCTACTCAACCTCTCCTGTCCTCTGGTTTTGTTTTTTACCGTACTGGTCACCCCTGGAAAGCCAGTCCTCCCCTGCCCTGCTCCTGAGTCCTTATAACAACAATACGTAGATATTGCTGAGTATTTTCTTCTCATTTTGAATTATATTCTCCTTTTGCTTCCACGATGGCATTAAAATTCCCACTTTATTGGCTTTTCTCCTTATGGGCATTCTTGGTTGACGTCTTCTCAGTGCACCACAGTCTTTCACCAAATCCTATCGAAAGACAATCTCACCTTCTTCCACCCTTTTAAGAGTCTTATTTGCAACCCACAGTTCCAGGTAAGCCCCCAGCTCTGCTCCGTCCCTGGGCTCTGTCGCACAGCTTCAAGCGCCTGCTCCAAGGCCCCCCATCCAGTGCTGCCCCAAGCCCAAGCCAACTGCCCAATTCCCCACACCTCTCCTGCCCCTGGTTTCACCTAAATTCCTTACTTAATGTCACCACCATCCTCCATCACTCAAGCATTGTTCCAAGAATAAATAAAACAGCGTGTGTAAGCATCGAGCCCAGTGATGATAGTGAAGTAAATCCTCGAGATATTTTATTTCTTCATTATCCTTCTGGGAACTTTGGAGCAACTCTTTTGAGAGCTTATGCCATTCATTATATTTATTTTATTTTATCTTATAAACTCAGGAAATTATAAACCCCTTGGGAGCAAAACTTATGCATCGTTTACACCCCTTTGTATCCTTCTAGTAGTCCATTAGTACATATAATAGCAGCTCAATGCTTTATTATCACAGTTTCAAACATACCCTAATGCTTTCATATTTTAACAGGTTTCATTAGGGTATCTGCTGTGCTTTCAGCACTCTATTCAGCCAAGCTAAAGCCAAATGTTGGATTCTCAATGATTTTTTGGAGTCCCTTCTCCACGTTGTAGATAGCATAAGATAGTTTAAGATAAATATGCACCTCAATATCAAGAGGCTTCCTGAGAATCACATATTTAGAGTAAATAATTATAGGAGATTAAAAATGAACCCTCTTACTCTTAAGTAGTTTACAGAACAATGTAGAGAGCAAGCCATAAATATATACAACAGGTACAAAGTCAGCTAGGTGTTGTTTATATCTCCAGCAAGTTTTAATTGCTAAGCACTGATAATAAGATGTACATGGAAACCTATCAACTTGTAAATCTATCTACGATGGGTGAGGTTTACCATAGGAAAGTTTCGCAGTGTTTTGTTTCTTTGTAGTATCCCTAGTCTTGGTCACTGGCGGCTTTTGGGCATCATAACAAGGGACTAAGTGCTAATTATGTTATTTTTTAACTGTTTCTGTTCACCTTTTCCTCTCTGTCCTCTGCACTGAAAGAACACCTATGGGAAAGTTACTGACCTTGGGTGAACTTGGAGACTTCATATGAGAATTGTTTTCATAGTATTTGAATCATATTTTCCTAATTGTTGAATTCACTTCTATTGTAAACATTAGGTATACTAATTTTTAGTTGACTTTCAGAATGCAAAAAACAAAAACAAAAAACAACCCACCCCCAAACCCAGTAATTTATGTAGGTCTTCATTAGCTAAGGAAATTTTGATGTTGTGTTGTTGTTTTTCTCATGAAAGTGATTTGTAAAAAAAAACCCAAAAACTATTGTATTGTGAAATATTTTCCTATGTGATCTGTGCATCTATTGCATTCATATACTTTCTAGCAATAAGCATTATTCAGGCTCTGTCATCCAGCATGCTTACCATTAGACTTCGTGGGTGGGGAAAGAGGTGAGGGGGAAGAATGCTTTGTAATTATATCACAGTTTAACTCTAGTCATAGCTTAAAGTCTACTACATTGAGAAGCTTTGTCAGCAGCAGGGATAATAAATGATACACATAATCTTTGGTAACACATTTTCCAAGTTACCCTAAGTCATTTTTTTTTTTTGAGCTGTAGATCAAAGCAGATCATATGCCAGCTAATTATTTGGAGACTGTTGTTACATATGTTAAATATTCTCGTTGTCCTCTGATGGACAGATTGGGTGGGGGGGACCTGCACATAGGGATGAGGTAGTTAACAATTTCACAGTTTTGGAAGGTTTTTAGATAAATGATCTTCAAACAAGTGTCTAGTTAAGAAAGAAAAATGGGCAAAAGTGAATGGCTCCCTTTGCTTCATGTATTTAACTCAATTTGGGATTAAGCTAACTGGGACTAACATATTTACATTTAAAGATCTGTAATAAATGGTATTTTACAATTCTTCCCAAACTTTTCTTATTGTCAGGTATTAAGTAAAATTATGTGCCTATATCACTGTTAGATCTGGTGTCAAGAACACTGTGTGCCCTTAAAATTCAGAGAGGAGGGTCATCTGGATCTTTGTATATATATTTTTTAATTGTAAAAGTCACTTTTCATTTTTTGCGATAGGTTCTTGCTGCTTTGTTGGTGTTTGTGACACTTGGATTAGGCCTGAAGCTTGGGCTCAGCCGGCAACAAGATGAGCAAGGTAAACCCCTTATCATTTTCTCAAAACATTTCTTGATTTTTTCTTTCTCCTCACCTTCACCTGTTAAAACTTGTGCTCTCCTCTCCTGAGTCTCCTCTCTCCTACTAGGTTCTCCTTCTCCCACCTCCACTTATCACGAGCCCACTCTGTGATTAGCTTATTCACTGTGGTTCCTGGACTTTACTCTTTGCCCTCACCCCTCTGCTTCTTGGAGAGTCGTATCATTCCAGTGTTTTGTCCTTACTTTTCCTTACCTTTATAGAGGACTTTGATATTAATATCTGATAATAAACTAGGCCTCAAGACTTTGTTGCTCTCTTCCCAGGACGTCCTGTCACCTTTCCTGCATCTTTTTAAAAAATATATCTTTATCGACCCAAGAGAGAGGAAGGGGGAGGGAGAGAGAGATAGAAACATCAAAGATGAGAGAGTTGTCATCAACCTGCTGCCTCCGGCACGCCCCCGACTGGGGATCGAGCCAGACTGGGGCATGTGCCCAAGAGTCGAACCTCGATCTCCTGGATCTTAGGTAGATACTCAACCTCTGAGCCACGCTCTGCCAGGCTTTCCTGCATCTTGATGTCACATGAGTATTGCTCTATCACCAAAATCTCATGATTTTTTGGTTAGGCAGTGCCACATTCTTCTTCTTTTAATTCATTGATCTTTATTGTTGAAAGCATTACAGGTGTCCCATTTTCCCCCCCAGTTAACCCTCTCCACTTGCTCCCACCCCCTCCCTAGCCCTTCACCCCATTATTGACTGTGTCCATGGGTTATCCATATATGCCTGTAACTTCTTTGGTTAATCTCTTCCCACCCTCCACCCCCCCTTCCCTTTTTCCTCTGAAATATGATCGTCTGTTGCATGCATCAATGTCTCTGGATCTATTTAGTTCATCAGATTCTTTTGTTCTTTAGCTTCTTCTTAAAGAAGACCCTTCAACATTTCCTGTAGTGCTGGTTTGGTGGTGATGAACTCCTTTAGCTTTTCCTTGTCTGAGAAGCTCTTTATCTGACCTTCAGTTCTAAATGATAGCTTTGCTGGGTAGAGTAATCTTGGTTGTAGGTTCTTGTTTTTCACCACTTTGAATATTTCTTGCCTCTCCCTTCTGGCCTGCAAGGTTTCTGTTGAGAAATGAGCTGACAGTCGTATGGGTGCTCCCTTATAGGTAACTAGTTGCTTTTCTCTTGCTGCTTTTAAGATTCTCTCTTTGTCTTTAACCTTTGGCATTTGAATTATGATGTGTCTTGTTGTGGGCCTTTGGGCTCCTCTTGTTTGGGATCCTCGGTGCTTCTTGGACTTGTAAGTCTATTTCTTTCCCCAGGTAGGGGAAGTTTTCTGTCATTATTTTTTCAAATAGATTTTGAATTTTTTGCTCTCTTTCTTCTCTTTCTGGCACCCCAGTAATACAAATGTTGGGCCTCTTGAAGTTGTCCCAGAGGCTCCTTAGACTATCTTCATATTTCTGGATTCTTTTTTCTTTTTGCTCTTCTGGTTGGGTGTTTTTTGTTTCCTCATGTTCCAAATTGCTGATTTGATACTCAGCAGCCTCTACTCTACTGTTGATTCCCTGTAAATTATTCTTCATTTCAGTTCATGTAGCCTTCATTTCTGATTGGTACTTTATTATGTCATCGATGGTTTTACTTGTTTTTGTAATACTCTTAATAATATCCTTGAGCATCCTTATAACCATAATTCTGAACTCTGTATCTGTTAGCTTGCTTGGTTCTATTTCATTTAGTTCCTTTTCTAGAGATTTCTTCTGTTCTTCCTTTGTGACATGTTTGTTTGCCTCCACATTTTGGCTGCTTCCGGGTGTTTGTTTCTATGTATTAGGTAGAGCTGCTATGTCTCCTGGAATTTGTAGAGGGGCTTTGTGTAGTAGGTGTCCTGTAGGGTCCAGTGGCTAAGCCTCCCCACCTGAGCTGGGCCTTCTAGGTGCTCCCCTCTGTGGACTGTGTGCACTGTCCTGTTGTGATTGAGCCTTGGTTGTTGTTGGCATCACAGGGAGGAATTTACCCCCGGGCCAATCACCTGTGAGGATCAGCTGCAACTACAGCCAGAGAGCTGCTGTGCTGGAGACGCCCCTATGGAGCAGGATTTACTTCAGTGGGGCTTTGGTGTTCACCAAGTGCACCCCTTGAGTGTCACTAGTGGATGTGGCAGGGTTGTAATCCAGTGTGGTCGAGTCTGACCACCAGGTGCACTGTCCCTGGGGCCTCCCGGGAGCTGCAAAGTCAGCCTGTGCCAGTGCCTTGCCCAGGGCCACCCAGCATAAGCCACACAGCAAACCGTAGTTGGCTGCTCCTTGTGCCGGGCTTGGAGGTGCCCAGGAGAGGCCAAGCTATGAGCCAGCGCAGCTGCCGCTAGTGCCAGGCCTGGGGCCACTTGTCAAGCCCCATGGGGCCTGTTGCTGCTTGTTTGAGAGATTTTAGGAAAGTCTTAAGCATGAGGCTCGAGAGGCCACTTGCACAGAAAAGCCCCTGGAAAAGGCCTGGATGAGCTGCAGGTGGGGGGGGCGGGGCCTCC